ACTGTCTCATGTTCTCTCTCTCATTCTAATATGAGGGACCTGAGTTCTCTAGAGGTAAGATGTCAGTTGACACGTTGGGCCTACCGCAGGCAAGACACTACCAATAGATAGAACGAGGGGCAAAAGTGAAGAACGAGAGACAAGGAGGGGAGCCGAGGGGCAAACTGGTGCCCGGGACCCTCCAAGATTCTAAAGGAGAGAGGAAGATACTTACTATTTTACTACTATAGTAGGTTGTGACTTTGAACTTTAAATATTACTTACGAACACCTGTTTAAATCCCACTTATTTTGGCTGTGGTCGTAGAGTTGTTCATCCCTCCCTACATTTTTCTATCGTTCAAACGACCCGGGTTCGATTCCCACTCAAACCCAACTTTCGGTTTTAAAGTATTTTAGACGTCCAAAGCAAGTTCTAGTGGTTTTGAGTGCCCACTATGGAAAATCTTTCATATCTAGATTTCCCCGTGGGGTTCGAACCCACCTAAGTTTCTAGAGGATGTTAGTCCATACTATGGCTGACGTTATTTCAACCGTGTTCTCCCGACGCTCTACCACTGAGCCATCCAGTCGAACACAATCTTGGAATTTTTATCCATTATAACTGTAACCTCAAGATTTAAATAGTGTAAAATTAGGTACTTTACATTTATCTTCATGCCCTGGCCACCGATGGATTTGAACCCTCGATTCGTATCTTTGAGACCAACGCTCTACCACTGAGCCATACAGTCAGACAATTTGGGGAATTATTTATCGAATATAACCGTAACCTCGTGTCTTAATAGAAGAAAAATCCTACCTGCCACCAGTGGGTATTGAACTAGCATCCTTTCCCTTCCAGCGGATTTTCAACCACCATAGCCACTAGGCCACCACGGTCGCTAGATTTAATGGACAATTAAGTATATATATATACTTTTACATTCTATAAAAATCTGTAAGACAATACCCGGGATCGAACCCTCGACCCTAACATCGTAAACTTTCAGTTACATACCACTTAGGCCGTTCAGCCACTATGAGTACGATCTAAGAGATTGTTTATCAGAGTCCCAATCCTGGACGCTTTTGTGAATTTATTTAAGTTCATTACGCTTTATATTTAATATATCTCATCCCGAACATCTCTCCAAGGAGAATGGAATTTTTACTGACGAAAGCCGACCCAATTTTAATTTTGTATTGTGTTGGTTGCCTTCATGAGCCTCAAGTGGATGTGGTTTAATAAGTAAAGATCATCTTTAGATCACAATTCAATTCTCACTCCAGGATTCGAACCCACGACCATAAAATAGACATAAGAGATCAACAGTTTAACCGACTGAGCTACCGCGAAAAGCACGTGCATAGTGTTCACCAGTTGACCTAGCCCGAGTAGACTCAGATATCCAGTCTCTTAGAACAACTGGTCCGCATTTTCTTATATCTTCTTCTATAAAACCAATCCATATTATCTTTAAGTCGACAAGCAGTATTCAGTCAAGTGCGTGGCTCAAAC